CTTTAGAATTCCCCTGACTGGAAGGGGATGTGTGTCTTGCTGTGCTGTTCTGCCTGAGTGGCCAACCCTTATTTGAGCATTCATGGAACTTGCCAGTCTGCTTTAGACAAGGGAAAATATGGAGCGATGCCTCAGCTAAATGCCACCGACTAAGCAAAATACACAAGAGAGGCAGGAGCTGGGTGATGTTTACTCCTTGTCCGTTACAGATTCTGATGGCGTGCAGGATAACGCTGGGCGTTCAGAGCTAGGTAAAGCTGTGTCTTTAGCTGTAGGTGGGCTCTTTGGTGAGTGAAAAGTATTTTGCTCAGTCTGCTAAACAGTTTCCTAATCATGAAGCGTATGCTTGCGACTCTAGGCTGCTGTAGGTGTGCACGGCAATGGCCCTCACACGTAATGCCTTGGTACCCAGCAGCAGGCAGAGCTCTGCACAAAGCTAGCCTTTCTCTGCTGTGTCCGCTTGCCAAGAGCAGAGGGACAGAATGACAAAAAGCTAAGTGTGTTGCATGGAAGCGTTAGGACATTCCTTCTGATATGTACTTAGGTCAGATTTGCAATCTCTTTACCCCTGGAACAGCACAAAGTTTCCATAGCTAGGAATAGTGTTGGCTCATTGAGAGTCTGTAAGCTATTCCAGCCCAATTCTGCTTTCCTTGCACACTTACTCGTGTACCTACTTACCCAGCAGTTCTTCTAATTCAGCATCTTTTGTAAAGGAGTGACACTAGCATCTTGATTAGAGGGACATCTCAGAAGAGCAAAGATTCAAGGATCTTCTGGTTCTTCTCAGAAGCAGCTAGTACCAAAGGAGACAGCAATCCATCTTCCTGCATTCCTGGGGACACTGATGCAACACATAGTACCGAAGCTGTCTCCATCTTTTGCAACCATAGTGCTTATACAGTGACAGTGCTGTGGACACGGTGCCGTCTCTGAGACTTAATTCCACACTGTTCTGACTGTAACATGCGCAAGAGAGGGCTTTACTCCCGGGATGTGCCCTGCAGCACCAGTGCCCACCTGGGCACTGCCAAGAAACGAGTATGAACTCTGAACAAACACGATTGCTGCTGCCACCACTGCCTTTCCTTAGCAATCCTGTTAGCAGTTGTGTCTGTGATGTATCTGGATCTGCGAGGCTGAGGCTGCAGCTTCGGAAAGTGCCCACCCATGTAACCTGCTTGTGTGTTTTGCCTCTCTGGTCAGTAGGGATGTCTTGTCACCTCCTAATGATGAGCTGGCCTGGATGCAGGTGCCACCCAAAGTCCAGTTTTGTGGCTGGGACTGAGTGGGTGACACGGAAAGCCCACTGACCAACTCTGCTCTTGTGTCCTGAGGTATTTGCCATAGCAGGGACTCTTGCAACTGCAAGTGTGTGTATTTATAGGGAGGCAGATGTAAACCACATTTGTCCTGTGTTTCTGGCAAAGAGAGAGCGTGAAATATTTGTGACCCGAGTCATTGGCTTTCCTGCCATTTGTATAAAAATTTCCAGATGTGATTGTTGATGCCTCACCTGGGACCAATTAAAGAAAGAAGGAATATCCAGAACCAACTGTGTACATGTGGATACTTGACTTGTTTGTGTGTGTGCGTGCGTGTGCGCATCTCTGTGGCAATGTGTGTGTTTTAAAGTAAAGCAGAATTTCAGTTCAAAGAACTTCTGTTCTCTCCTCCAGGACCTTCCTGCTGCCTACATTATCCTTTTCTCCGCGGCATTGTCCCTGTCCCACAGCCCCAGGAGTAATTTGGGTTTCTCCCTCATATTCATCCTCCTACCTTCTCTGTTATACTTCCAAATAGCTGCTCTGTGTCTCACTTGAGCACCCTGCTCTTCCTTGTCAGCACATTTGGACTGCTTGTCACCAAATGAGCCCTGTACACTGGTAAGTCTCTTGTCCTCACTCTTCTCACCTGTTACTTCAGCTGTCTGTCTGCTGGGTCCTGGCTAGACTGGGCCTGGAGAATAAACTCCTGGTTTTCCACTCCCAGTCTTTGTCCATGAAAACCTCCTCATCATCACCCATCGTGTCTCCATTTCTTCTCTCCACTGATGATTGCAAACTGCTGTCCTTTTTCCTTCTTTCATGCTGACTTTCTTTATACCTTTTGTCCTTCTCTGAGTGGGCTCCCTAAGCCACACTCCTGCCTTAGTCAGACCCTGCTGGAAAGCAAATCTTAAATTGTCCAATTTTCTTCCCTTCTTTTGTTGTTGTTTTTGCAAGGAGAGTTCAAACAAACAAAACAACCCTCCCCCCAACATCTGGTGCCTTTCAGGAGCCTTAAACTCCTGGCCAAAATGTAGCATGTGGAGGGACAGGATGAGAATCTAACTAGTTTGCAAAAAAAAAAAAAAAAAAAAATCCCTGTACCCAAAGACACAGACCAGTTCTTATTTAATCTACAACAAAATTTAATCTTACTTTTCTGCTTATCAGTCATCTTGTTTGGCCATAATCAGACCCATTTTCCTCCTTGCTGGCTGGAGTTGCCCACTTCATATTTCTTTGGATGTGGGCAGAATTTGGGGTCCTGTCTGCAGCAGGATTTTTGAACAAGTTTGGGAACAGAATTGTAGCTAAGGAGGCTGCTCCTGTGCCAGTCCAGCCCAGTGCAGCAAACATCAGGCCCAAAGTAACTTTGCTCTTTTTTTTGTCTCATTTTTAGGTGTTCCCTGTAGAGAAGTCACAGGTGGATTTGGGTATATTTGTGTTTGTTTTCAGCCCAGGATATTTACAATACAATGGTAAAAACTAATGTATGTCTTATACAGTCATTTGGTTATTAACAAGATGTTTTCAGGGTAGCTATGTTTTAGCTCTAGATTATCAGCTGGGAATAATCTTATTAAGATCTTCAGAGCTAGACTAAAATTGACAGTCTTACTAAATGAGTAAAAATAGGACTACATTTCAAGTGTAGATTTATCCTTCCTGTGTGTGGTGGGGAGTGATATGTATGTGCTATGAGCAGCTGATGATAGGCTTTCTAAGCGCAGACTTTTGTCTCCATGGAACGAACATGGTGAAAAGAAATCACCCGGTGTGTTGTTTTGCCCCGGAAAATGTCTTCAAAAGTTAAAGTGTCCTCCTTAATTTTTTATGAATTCCAAAGGGCAGTGCCACCAAAGAACGAACACGCAGAAGGTAAGAACGGGCCTGTCGTGGGCAGCGCGATGCGTCCAGGTGCCTGTCTACCCGCCGTTGCCTTGTTCTCCTCTCGAAGCTCTAGCTGACGTGCGCAAACCTCTGGCCTTTGCCTTTCTGCCTTATGCTGGCACCAGCCCTTGACACAAACTGTTTTCTGTGGTGTGGATAGCTGTAGTTTAGTTTAGCTATCGCTCTCTCTAACTCTCAGTCTTTATTGCAAGGCAGCACGGGAGGCTGCAGCACTGCCCTTTCTGCTGCGTTTCCTTGCAGGGGTTTGGACCATGCGGCAGCATCGCGCGTGCTGTGTGCAGCCGGTCCCAAGGAGGAAGGGTAAAGATAAACCGACCCTGTGAGTTTAGCAATGCATGAGCCAGGTTATCTCAGCTTCCTGCACAGCACCAGAGCTTCCCTGAGTTGGCCGTTTGATGCCTGGCCTCTCTGCTATTAACCCTAGCACAACCAGGACACGGACATCCTTCCTTCGTTGTGCTCCAAGCTGCAGCCTCTCAACGGAGAGGGTGAGACCGGGACATGCCAGCCCAAAGGGCAAGTGTGGGAGGAATGAGAGTGGGCAGCAAAAGCCAGCGGGTTGGGAAAGAGCTCTTCCTGGTGCAGCTGAGCCCTGTGATTATCCCAGGGCACTGCAGGACAGCTGAGCTCGGAGAGGAACTGCCTGAAAAGGAGCAGGTAGAAAACAAAGGTGGATGAAGAAGAGTCATGAGCGAAGAGTATCTGAGCGGGGGAACAGAGTGCTAATAACACTGTGGCACGATCAGGTATCTGGCGGGGTTTCTTTGCAGCACGGCCAAGCTGAATATTCTGCTGCAGAAATGATTTCTCCCTTTGCAGGGAAAATTCTGCCAAGTCCCTTCCTCTTCTGGCTCCCAGGTCTGGGTGTCTTGCTCAAGTCATGGGGCTTCCAACCGGTTTCCTGGCTGCTGCAGACTAAGGTGGTGCCAGTACTTCTAAAAACAGCCTGGGCGCTCTCCTCCTCCTCCTCACTTTGGCAAATTCCTGCCTCCTCCCTCCCTCCCAAGCAGTGCTTATTCAGCTTTTACTTGCTGCTCTGGAGTGTCCTGAGGCCTGACCTGAGGAGCTGGTAATGCAGGAGGGGCAATTTGTGAAAATACTCAGCCCTCTCTCCTATTACGAGGCAGGTCTGGCTGCTGTGAGCTGCTGTTTTGTACCTTCCATGCTTGATTGTTTGTCCCAAAGATGCTTAAATTGACTCGTTTAAAACTCTGCTCTTGTCTATCCAGAGGGAAACTTGTGCCCTTCAGGATCTCTTCCATCAACCCTAGGCTGTGGGGGTCACAGTGTCTCAGTGCAGCGCAGCCGCCTCCTCTGTCCCCTCGGAGCGAGTGCAGCCTGGTGAGCTGGGGCACCGGGCGATGTCCCAGCGCAGCAAGGCCCTCTCCTCTCCTCGTGGGGATGAGGGGGACAGGGAGCGCCTGCTCCGCGGCTGCCTCTCCTGCCCCCGTGAGCCACCCGGGGCACCCTCCGGGTTACCAACCATCTTCACGGCCCGGAGCCAGGAGCCGCTCAGCAGTGGCCCCCAGCCCGGGGTCCGTGTGGGGCGAGAGGAGAGGAGAGGTGGGGGGCTCTGCCCCCAGGGCGGGTGGCTCTGCGCTGTCCGGCTCGTCAGGCTTGATTAGATTTGGCTGGCGCTGGGGCTCAGGCCTCCGCTGCGAGGGGTGGGGTCTGGCCCGCGGGCAGAGCGGGCCCTCCTCCTTTTATGTGCGCCTGAAAAGTCGCCTTTGTTGTGGGGGCTGCAGCCTTTGTCCCCTCCTAGGAGCAGTGCCCCTTTCTTCAGGCATCAGCCCTGTCAGCCCCTCGGAGAGGTGGGCAAGCTGCCTTTTTGTGTCACATGGGAGCTCTGCCTCGCATCTGCGCTGTGCTCCGGTCTCTCACTGACCCCTCCAGGGGCTGAGGAAGCATTTTTGCTGAGTTTGAAGTTCCTAATCTGAAACTCTGCTTGGCCAGGATCCAGCAAGGTGTTAAGCTCCTTTCAGCTGGGAGTTCCCCCCAGGTCCCATCCCAATTTCTTCAACCCTTTGTGAGAGAGCTGGGAGAGCAAACTCAAACGAAATCTGAAGTTCTGAGGCCTTCTGTGGTCCAGATGCAAACACGGCCCTCTTGGACGGAGTGATTTGCAGTCAGCAATCTCCCGCAGAGGTCTCAATATTAAGGTTTTGCCATGACAGTGTTAAATGCGAGCAGCATTGCGTTTGAGCAGCCATTAGCAAACTCAGTGGAGCTGTGAGCTCAGGAGTAGGTAACTGTCCAACCTCTACAAACTCAAGCCAAAATCTTCCTGTGTCAGTTTATCTATTTGTGCTTCAGTGCCTATGTTGCCACATTCAGTAGGTGCTTTATTTTCACATTGGGCAGCACCCCAAGAGCTACTGCAGGCTTTGGAGAGTGGTGGGCAGCTCGCAGTCGTCTTGCCCATTGCACTGCAAGCATGTTAGTCCCAAAGCTGTGCTCTCCAAAGGGTTTCCAAGCTTCATTTTAACTCGTCTCAGACCAGCTAGCACAAGGGAGACCAACCCACGTCCAAATGACAGTTTGGTTTATAATGTTTACTGTGCGTTTCATTGCTGTGGTTCAAAGTGTTTTCAGAGCACTGTAGCTGGAGCCCTGCCTATAGGCAGTGAATCCCTAATGCAACTGTATCCCTCCTGTGGTGCCCTTGGGAACTGGGAGTAGCGACTGACCTGACTGTTTCTCCTCTGAAGGTCAGTGCTCTCCTTGCCTTGTGCCTGCATTCAGGTTTGGCAGTGCAGGGGTTAAAGAGCTCCAGTAGGGTGGAGGATGCTTCAGCCAAACCCAAACTGATTGCACCTGGTTTGCTCAACCTCCGTAAATGACACCGTGGGCTCCCACCCCCACCCCAGCGAATGCCACAGGGGCTGCCAAGGTACGTGCAGACCGGGCTGCGCGAGCAGGTGTGGGGCCCGCAGCGGTAGGAGGCTCCGGCGGGGGAGCAGCCGTGCCAGTCGCACGCACGGGAGCCCGTGATCGGCCATCGCCACAAGCGGCTGCAGCGACAGCCAGCCAACATCAGGAGCTGCCGGAGCGCCAATTCTCGTTCTCGTGCTAAACGTGCTCATGTGTTGCTATCGGGGTGTAAGGGAGGCTGTTCCTCTTGTGCATCAGGCACGCTCACCTCGCCTGCTTTGTCCTGTGTAGCTCCTCATTGGGTCTCTGGGCAGCACACGGCTCTGGGCTCCCAGACCCGCTCCTGTCTTTGCTAAGCTCTTCCTCCGGGACACTTCTACTTCAGTGTGTGGAAGAACTGGAAGCAGAAGGTTGCTCCCACATGAACTGTACCTGCGTTGCTTTTGTATGTTGGGGAGGTCGTGAAGGATTCAAGGCCATAGACTCCAGAATGGGAATTTAGAGTTCCTCCTGTCAGTGGGATTTGCTAGGGAGGCAGTGAATTCCCTGGACTAGTCTAGAAGTGATCTGTGAAACTATGTTAGTGTGGGCTCCTCACGCAGCTCTGCAAGTGATCCCTATCACGAAACAGAGAGGATGGAATTACTCATATTTACTCTCTCTTCCCCCACCCTGACTCCGTGCTGAGTCAGTCCTTCCTTTTCCAGTCCACAAACCGAAAGAAAAGGAATGTTGGTTAGGTGATCCTGCTCCGGGGAGGCCACGTGTTTCTGCATGGAAACCACGATGATGCTCAGCTCTTCTGTGTCACCCATCGGGGCACTCAACCTTCCCCAAGAGCTCTCATCGATCTGTGGGTATGAAGGGTGCTGCGCTGCTGAGCTCAGGAGAGTTTGACCAAGCTACAGTGCAAGGAGTTTGGCCCAGAGGTCCCAAACCCTGACCTGGATATGGGTTTTCTTTGGCTTTTGTATAAAGGCTCCGAGGTGAGTGGTAAAGACCAGGGAGATTCCATGTTGTGGCCCAGCTGGCGTGTGCAGCCACAAATAATAATTAATTGGCTCTTTAAGACGTCTTGCAAACTCCTTTTTTTTTTTTTTCTGTCTGTCTGTCTTAAGCTCCTTTTAATTAAGTTCAGTCATGTCCCAACACATCATCTTGGCTGAATCACAGACCTCACTGTGCCAGTTTTTCACATTCCTGAAATACACAGGCCGCCAGTGTTGCGAATGCAGCTCGGAGGCAGTGGCTCAGAGGAAGTCGGGCAGCTCTCCTGGAACTCAGAAACTTTCAGGAACTGTTGTGAAATTGAGAGGCTGAGGAAACTGGCCTCTTTGCTTCAAACTCCTGTGCCATTCAATTCCCAACAGCGTAACTGTCCTGCACCTTACCCACGAGCAGAAATTGTAGCAGGCACCTGTGTACAAGCATCTTTGTTCCTTTAGAAAGCCCCTTTATTCGGGTTACAGTGCTTGGGGCACACCGCCTTCCCCCCTGTTCAAATGCTTGTCTCTTTGTCACACTCCTTACTGCGAAGGGTCAGCTGGCAAGATGATGGGCCCTGTTAATGAGACACACAGGCTCTTTAGTTAGTCACAAACATAGCTGGTGTAGCAACAGGAAAAACTTCTGTGTCTCTTCAAGCCTGGTCTAAGGACCATTTCTCTCTTCTTTACAGGAATTTGGGGTTCACGAGCATCTGCTTATTGAGTTAATAACCTGGCTGTGCTCTCACCAGCTCCAGTGGAAGTAATCCCAATGTTTCCCTTGACTCAGAGCTTTGACTTGACACTTACTGTCCCTTGTGTCTGGCTCTGAGCTTGGGACATCTGTATCTGACAACTCAGGGTGAATTTAAGCACCCACTTAACAATGTGTTCAATTTACTGGAGAGACTTTTTCGTAATGCCTTGGTACTTCTGTGGAGAATATAGTGTTGATAATGGAGTCATGCAACTGGGCAAGAAAGGTGTGCTAGATGTACAGTGGCTAAAAGCTGAAGCTCATTAAATTTAGGTGAGAAGGAGGGTAGAGTATTACAGTTATGGGCATCTTCATCCATTTGAAAATCTTACCACTGTATTCTTCACTGCTAGCCATTTAGATGAAGTCTGGAATCATTCTCCAAAAGAAATGATCGTATTTAAAATGGTATTGATTCCAGATAGCCCTATGCTCCATGCTGAGGAATAGAAGACTGCAAATCTTCCTTCTGCCCAGGAAATAGGGACATCAGCCTCAGGGGCCTGTCCCCAGGCTGCAGGTGAGGAGCAGGGGTTGCCCAGAAAACTATCCCAGCACTACTCGTGCTTCCATAGCAGCACCAGGAAGGGCTCCAGAGGGGGTTTTGTGACACAGCCGATGGCAGCAGGCTGGATTGTTGTGGGGCGTTTCGAATAAGCGGGAGGAAGGAAATGTTACAGTGGAGAAAAAGCAAACAACACCTTAGCTTTTGGGGAAGACAGAAAAGGTAGCTACAAGCGAGCACCAGATAGGAGCATGGGAGCAATATGTAGGTTGCTGGAGGCTGTACAAAAGGTGTAAAAACGTGGACATGTGGAGAATGAATAAGAAGCAGGGATGGCATTTGATAATGAGCTGGAGAGTAAAATAAAACCACTGCTGAGGAAGAGTACGTCATCATTCACGTTGAATTCAAGCTAATGCATCTGGGGTATGACACTTCACTGGGAATATGGACTCAGACTGAGCAGCACTGTCACTGATCATGTGGAAACTGCTTATGATGGGGAGGAAACTGTCTAGAAGTCAAATAGCAAAATATACTGATAGTGAAAAAGAGAGAGAACTTCAAGAGCTGCTAGGAGACCGGCTCAGTAATGCAGCCTGATCAGGATTTAGGTGTCTGCTGATGCACAAGAAAAAATGTGTTTCTAGTTCCATCCATAAGGAAAGGCCGGATATGCTGCAGTGGGTAAGGTAAGCAATATTTTTCCTCTGAAATACTTCAGTTCCAACTACTTAGCTTTAGAGAACCTGTTAATCACTGTTTCCCCCTGTGATTGCCCTAGGGAGCCGATTGCCTGGATCTAGACAGTCAGACCTGAGGCAGTGCTCACTCCTGGTGCACACAGGATGCAGCGCGGAGTGGGCTGGCCCCCAGAAAGATGCACATGGATGCCCCAAAACTGGCATGGGGCTGTAACAATAGGACGACGACAAAGCAGCATGGATGTTGCGATGGATTTTTCCTGAAATTCTTCCTGTTGTGAATAGTAAACACTGGTTTCTATAGCACTTATTGGGCACTTGTCCCAGCAGAAGTGCTTGAACAGCAAAATTAAAACATGTTGTCAGAGTGAGAGGACCAGACTTTGCCTTGAGCCATTGACAACCTAACTGATTAGTTCATTGAGTGAGGTGAGAGGAAAAGAGAAAAACTGAGTCATTTGCTTTTAGAAATGATGGAAATAACACTCAGGATGTGCTGAAAAGGATCGGTGGGGAGCTCTCTTTTTCTCTGAGTGAAGTTGAGAGCTTCAGAAAACCTCAGAGGAGTCCACCTAGCTGATTCCTGGGATCGTTAGTATCGTCAGCTGTGACCCTTGCCTAGAGAAATGATGAATCTTCAGTTGTTGCTAGTGAGATGGCTTGTCCTGGTGGCTGGGCTCCTGCACTTGTTTGTAGATGCTTTTGCAATGTCGCTGCTTTTTCTAAGTGACCCTGCTTCTCTAAGTGAAGGCGCCAACCTAGCTCTTTCACGCCAGGTTAGGGTGTAGCCCTGTGTCTCACACTGATGCAGGAAGAGAATAATGTCCTTGTAGAAAACCTTGAGTTCACATAATGTGAAAAGGAAATAGTGGCAGGGAAAAAGAAAAGAGCTCAGATCACAGGGCTCAAAACTGTGGTCTGCAGAGTGGCCACTAGTAGCCTTCGGAGAGCGAACTGGGCAGCTGCAGCTTGCTGCCCTCTTCTAGCTACCGAAGCACATGCATGGAATATTTATCCACTTTATATCCCTGGGTTCCCAATGTCCATAGCTCCCGTAAGGACTTCCCAGCACTGCCTGTAGGTGAGACTCACAGCACAGGAAGGGCAGTGTTATCCTTGTGCTTCCATCTCCAGCGCTCAGCGGGGTTGCGTAGCAGGCGTTTTCAGCCTACTTTTCCTGTTCGAATGGACTTCAAAAGAGGAAGATACTCCCATTGCTGTTTTGCATGATAACAAGTTAGGCAAGCATCACTTTTGGATTCAGTTGATGGAATACTGGTTACTGCCGGTACCAAGTGGGCGTCTTAGTTGAGACTATCAAATTATGTCTGTTGTATTAAATGCTTTGTTGGATTTCCTGCTTGGAAAGTGATGCATGTACCAGACAAACAGAGTTTTCTGTTCTGGCATTAAGACATTCTTGGCATGCACTGCAAACTGTTTACTTTAGAAGCTTAATTTCAGATAAAATTTTGGAACACTCTTGGAAAAGTCTGCAACTCAACAGCGACAGAGAGGAGGCTAGAGCACCACTTTCTTAACTTTGGCATCCTCTTGAAATACTGTAATCTGCTTTATCTGAACTGTTTCTGGTTTGTCCGTGATTCATTCGCACATTGTCTCTTGCTGTATTGGACAGGCAATAAAGAGCGCTGTGCTGAAAGACAGGTAAGAACAGAGAGCACAGAAGAACATGGTGGAGAGCAATATTTTATGTCCCTTCCGTGTGTTTAACTCTTTCCTGTGATATTCTGCTAATGGGAGGAGAAGGTTCTCCATCTTGCAGAGCAGTCACCGGAGAGGGCGCGTGCAGGGGCGCCGAAGGGCTCTGCTGCCCGCTGCACGGGCACCGCACGCGCCGACACGCAGCGCCGTTGGTTTCCACCTAGCAGAAGGGTTCTGGAGCGCGCCAGAAGAGTGACGCCAGAATACAACACACTTCATTCATCAAAGCCATAAGTAAGAAACTCTGTGTTTTTGGTTTTAGAAGTAACTTTTGTACATTTATGACTTTTTCCACATTAAACATCATTTATGGTTTGGAAATTGTTCAGGCAAGAGGCATGTGGTTTCTGCTCCTGAATATCAGCAGCAGTTTTCCTAGGCTGAGTCCCTATTTTATGTTGACATTTCTTTGGCTTATCATTTATCTTTTGGGTGGACCTCGTTGGAGCAAGCAGCCTCAAGGAGAGGCATTGGGAGAACCTATATCCTTCTTTTCAGACCAAAGGCTGCTTAAGGTAAAGAAGGGGCCATTGAAATGGGGGTTTCAGGGCCAGAAGCCAGACTTATCCAAACTGCTTGGTGAAGAAGAGCCTTTTCAGGGATATTCCCTCATCAGACAGGTTGCTGGAACAAATAGAGAAGTAGGAATTTCACACCTGGACTTTGAGACATGAGTCGATAGGTTTTTCCATAAGAGCTGTGAAAAGTTATGGACTAGCT